GAGAAGAAAGGAAACAAACGAGCAAACGCATAAGTTTATCGTGTTGCTCCCAATACGCGATTAATTCCAACGAATGTAATTAGATATTGTTTCTTTTCGAGATTACACAATTTCAAACCAAACACAGAAATGTTGTTGAATTGGACATAGAAAATGAATGTTGCTGTTCTACTTTTGTTGCTTTAAATCGGTCTAGAAAATTGAAGCAAAAATAACTGATAAAAGCTTTTCTATTTTTTTTTTGTTTATTTTTTTTTTTGAAAAATCGAAAAAAAATTGAAAAGAAAACGATTTAAATGTGAAGACTTCTAAAAGCTAAAAAAATTTGTAACAATATTTATTAGTGCTGTTAGTGAAACAAATAGTTTACGCACCTTGTTGAGCATGGCTAAATTTTAACTGATATATTTTTCAAAATAATTTTTCATTGCTCAACGACAGCTTTGATTATCGTCATATATTACATTATCGGTCTTAAAAATCCAGCAAAATTTGTTCTATCGTCATTTTTCAACATAAAACAACAACAACAACAGCACTTATAATGACAGTATTAAAAAAAAAAAAAAAATTTTTTTTTTTTGTTTATCAAATAATAAGAAAAGCTAAAAAGAAAGAAAAAAAAAAAGGAGGGATATAACAGATAAGGCAAGCTGAGCATTTGACAGAAAGAAAGAACATGACGCCGAACATCGGAAATCTGAAATTCAATAATTGACGGAAAACAACAATTGTGTATAAAATATCTTTTTCAGTTGGTCATATATTTTGCCAAGGCTAAAGGCCCTCAAATTAGAAAAATATTTCTTGTATAGTTGTCGAGATTGTTATATAGAGACATTTTGAGTAGATCTAAATCACAGATAAAATTTAATCTACTGATTATTGTCATTCATCTGTTTTTGTTGAGTTTAAAATCCGAAAAGTTTTTTGATAAGTTCACTGGACAATCGGTAGTTTACTAAGATCGCTTTGACATCTCCAAACATCAGAGCAGGTCTGCGGCTGTTTTCTTGACAACTTTTACTAGACGCTTGCAAGAGTGTGCGAAAAAAAAAAAAGCCGAAATTATCGTATCAGATAGAAAACAGCCAATTATGAATATATAATCGCCAATGTAAACAACGGTTTAAGACTGTTGCTTCATTAATCTTAAAATTCGCTACTTTTTCTTTCGTCCCTCTCCTCCCTTCAATCTTCTGCACAAAAAAAATTTCATCACTGTTGCTACAATGTTTTGAATACTAATGATATCAGCAAAGCTGATATATCACTTCCGATGCTGCTAAACTGTTTCTATGGATCAACGATTTTCTTAACAGATAATAAGATCAATTACATTGATAATAGTTATTGATAACCGAAAATTTGATCATTTCGTTTGGGTTTAGAAAACTCATTAAGATAGCAATGAATTTTACTTAGATACTTCATAAACTCTCTGTAATGATACCATTTAATAGAGACGCCCAAAACCGGTACGATTTGTCCAGTAACATTTGGTGAAATTTGAGCTTTGGCTTACCTGTCTGAAATACCCATAACTTTGACTAGAGCAGTTAGATATGAATTATCTAAGCAGCTGAAACAAAGTTTGGTTAAAAAACTTTAGTTTTTGAGTTTTTCCCATGACTTATTCGAAGAAAATTTATGTTTTTCTTGCCATAAGATCAATTTATTGCTTTGAAATCGAGAAAATATTCAACATCAATGTCCTTAATGAAGAAGAAAATGTGGAACTTTTTTTTCTTATTTTCTTCTTCCTCTTCTTCTCAAGCGAAAACAACGGCGACAGCACCAGAAATAAAAAACCACACTACAAGACAACAATTTTTGAATTAAAAGCCAAGCGAAAAAAAACTTCTCCTGTGTGTAATATAAATTTTTTTTTCGTCGACACTCTTGGGACTGTGTTTTGCAAAGCCTTGAAACTTTCTAAACTGCTTCAGAGTTTATATAGAAAACAATCTTAGTAATATCTGCTTGGCTTTTTGGTTTCAATTTCAATTAACTATCGTTTAATAATTCATCGTACCAAAGGACAATTATCTCAGAAACTCGCAACTTCCCGTCCACCACTCTTCTCCATCCTATAAAAAATCATTCAATATCTCAGAAATAAGCAATAAAAGAAATT